TATAGTAATATACACATTTAAAACTTTTTCTAAAATCAGATTAATTTTCTAATAAAATATTGCATTACATTTATTTTAGATCAATTATGCAAGGCGAGAAGGAGAATTTGACACTTTTATATTACCCTCCAGAACAACCTAATCAAGAACCTGTTACGTTGATTGAATTGGGGCCATCTACAAATGCTTGTCCTCAAGGATTGTGTATGTAAATTTATACAATTCGTAAAATTAATCTCTAATAATTAAATTCAAATCTTAAGAATTTGTTAATTTATCTCAAAACAGTTATGGTTCATATGACATGTAAGCGAACGGCAAACGCAAAGGAAGACTTGGCCTACGTTGTCAATAAATTTTTAAATGCAGAACCTCTTGATCCATTAGCCATTCGTGCATCTATTCACAGTCATACACAAACTGTTTCTCCAGATAAGAGACATCTCCAGGTACTTTTTCCTGTATAATTTAAATTTTATTTAATATATCTTTTAAACAAGTAAAACATATTTATTTTTACATTAAAAAAGAAATCCAAGTTCAATTTTTATTATTATGTTGTTAAGTTTATCTTAAAAGTGAAATATACAAATTCTTGATTTTAAAAACAGTGCTTCATTAATCTATAATCTAAAGTTTCATTTCCTAGTTATTGAAAGTGCTTCATTAATATATAATCTACAGTTCCATTTCTTAGGTATTAAAAGTGTAAATTTGAAAATTAATATAATTTTGAAAAAATATTTTTCTTTTATTAAGTAATTTTAATTTTAGATATTTTCCAAATTTTTAATATTTGTAGGAAGGTGATCAAGATAACAGGGAAGAGTCTGCAGAGAGTCCAAAGCCTCAAGTTTTATGGTCGTTGTACTTAAATCTACCTGCAAGTGATATTAAATTAAATGATTCTACACCCAGTAATCTTCATCTTTGTTCTGGCCCAGATTTAGAACTTGATTTCGATTTTGCAGTTAATCAAGTGAGTTTGTTTGTTAAATAATTTAATCGATTTGCATAATTTAACCCTTGCATTCCGATCATTTTTTAATACGATCCATCAGCAATTCCAACACACTTTTGTCGTGAAATTTTTTAAAAATCAAAAGATTTGTTTTGAAAAGAAAAAATTATGAATATCTATAAATTTATTTATTTTTATTTCTTTTGTTAATTTACTTTATTTTAATAATATAAATAAAACTTGAATTTTACATTTTAAAGCTCTCCATGATAATTGTTCATGTCGTCGTAGCGGCACCAATGGAATTATGGTGCATGTAATGAATGTTGCTGTACTAGTGCTAGTGGAGTGTAAAGGGTTCAATTAAAGTAAGGGCCAATGTATTGGCCGGTCGAGGCCATTTCACCTTCGTCGCTGTTTTACACCGATGAACCTAACCGAGTGGGATCTATACATGTACTATACGTTGCTGGAAAGAAGTCCTGCTCTCACACTCACTTTCAGCTCTAGTGTACTATTTGTCGAAACAGTCACACATACTAATCCGATCGTGTGATCCTTCTTGCCTCTGTGCCGTCCCGCGAGACTTCTTTTTTGTTTTGTCTCATAAGGGTACACTTAGTAATCGGCTTTAAAGCACTTGGTATCACTTCGAATATACATGTGGCGAAAAATTCAAATCACTTCAAACATGATTCGATACTTGAAACTCTTGAAAGTTTTAATAAGTCTTGATAGGTTTCAAAGTCTCAAAAGTTTTGAGAGGACTTGAAAGCTTTATGAGTATTCAATATCTTGCAAGCATTTTGAATGCCTTTGTCCAAACAGCATCATTGACATAAAATATTAAAGATATTGAATACTCATATGTAAGATATTGAACACTCACTCACTAAGCTTTCAAAATCTACTAAAATTTTCAAGACTTCCAAAATATATCAAGACCTTCAAGAGTTTTAAATATCGAATTAGGTTCGAAGTGATTAGAATTTTCACAGTATTAAAAAACTTTGAATCGCTTCGACATTCAAATTCCAATGCCCATCACTAGATATACCTCTTTCATTTGTCTTTTGTTTTGCAATATGCTCTCTTCGTTTTATGTTTTATGAAAACGTAGCAGGCGTAATTTATAGGTGGATTGGAAAGATTATATACATACGGCACCTATTAACTACCGAACGGAAAGAATGGAATCGAAAAACAATGAAGGAGAAATGGCCTCGATTGGCTAATACATTTGACCTTTACTATATAATTACTTTAATCGAAATACTAATTTAAGAAGAATAAGTAATAAATAGTTTTAATAATAAATATGTGCAATATTCGTTATTATAAAAAATTATTACTTTTTCAGGCGAAAAGCATTTTTGAATCGATGTATCCTGAGGAAGACTTCCTTCCACGCGCACCTGATCCAGAAGAGATTGTACTCGAAGGAGAAGAAGCACCAGGACCGAAATTTGAGGGAGACACAGAGGCTGAAGAAAAACAGGATGTTGAGAAAGCCGAGAAAGAGGATTAAACAATCTTTTTTCGTCTTTTCATCTTGAAAACACGGGCCCGCTCCCTTAGCCGCACACCTCTTTCTATCCAAAGTTACACGCGCCTCCTTTCGTTTGAAAGTTGGAAACTTTTATTCGAATAATTAACGAATGAATTCTTATCAAATTGAAATATCAGTTCTGTCCGTAAATAGTGCTAGACATTATATAATATAATTTTCATCTACATAAATATTTAAATTAAGTATGAAATTATTTTATTTATTTTGCGATACAAATTTAGATATTATTTTGCCTAGCACTCTTTGTAGACTAAACTGTTTATTTTAGAAAAAATACTTACTTTTTTGAATAGTTTTTAAAACGAACGAGATAAAATATGTTCGTAAATTTTCGAATAAAATTCCAATCGACTGGCGCTCAAGTCTGCGTTACACTCGCTCTTTTATTAAATTACGGACCAATCGGCCGAAAGCATTAATTTTTCTTTCTTCCTTTTTTGATCAAATAAATTTTTGTCTAATGTTGAGTTTCGAGGAAATGAAATGTAGTTTTACGATAATACATAAGAGAGACGTGGAAAAAACGAAATAAAAGAATAGATAATGTTTGAAAACTAATTGTTCATTGAATTACGTTAGATTTAAAATTAATTTTAAACAAAACGAATTTGAAAATCAGTTGAAAATTTGTGAATGTAATCGATTTCTAATTTAATCGAAATAGTTAAGCATTTTTAGTATCGATTATATTTATGAATATTCCAAATTTTTTAAATACACTAAAGAAATAATTACATTAATAAAATTCTTATGAATCTTATTTTTCTTGGCTACTAGAAATATAAAAAATCGTATGACATTCCACGTTTCTCTACTATATCAATATAAAAGATATTATAATGTCTTTTATCTGATCATTAATACGTATTATACATCATTAGTGTATTTATTACGCATTGTATTGCATAGCATAGTTTACTCATTATATATTGTTAGTATAAGAAGAAATTTAGACTGCATAAAATCGATCGTTCCTCGGCTATTTATTTATTTTTTTAACTATTTAATTATAATTTGTTATATTTTAATCATTTTTATAATTATAATTCAATTTTTTTTAAATTTCAATCTTTTTTCAATTTTAATTCTATATTACCGCAATAATTCTTTATATGAATAATATTTCGTCAATTTTATATTACTACTACCTTCATATATACCAAGTTTACTTCGTGGATCCCGTTGATCATTAATTTATTGAAATTTATTTCTGTTTCATTCATTTACTTTATTAATTTAATTACTTAACATAATTTACTTCTATTTAACTTCTCACTTTTAGTATCTAAACAACATTCTGTTTAACTACTTTCTGTTTATATAATTTTATTTTTAATATTTGTATAATATTTTAATGAAAGAAGAAAAAAGAAATGCTATCGGTTGGTTCCGCTCGTATATTATGAACATTTTTACACACATTGATCGTAGAGCGGCTTGGATGTCAGAATTGATAATCTTTTTCTCGCCGTTGCTGCTTCGATGTGCGCGCATTTATTTGCATTTAACTGATAATACGCCGTACTCAACATTGAAATACAGTAAACTGATACGAAATGAAATATAATTTATTTCACCAAACATGTCTCCTAAAAAATATTTAATACTTTGAATTCTGACAGGAATATTGCATTTCCTCCATACTCAATTTTACAGTTATTGTATTAGTTATTGTAAAGTAATTTACTTATTTATTAAGAAGAAAAAAATCTAGTTTAACTTCATTTTTTTAGTTTTGAAGAAATTCATAGCATACAAAGATTTCTGAATAAACATATTTTTTGTATTTTTTTACTTTAGCAATAATAATCATACTTTTGAAGAAAAAAGTAAAACCTTTCAGAATTCATTCTTTTTTTTTACTTTTCCTGTGATCAATTTCTAAAAGGAGAGAAAAAAATTTATACTTATTTG